AAATCTTTAATTAACTTCTATTTTTTTGCTTCATTATTTTTAACTCTAATCTATGTAAATATTTATGATAGCTTTTTAAATCATTAGTATTAAAATCAGTAATATTTATTTGTTGTCCAAAAAATGAAATAAATATTTTAATCTATTTAACCTTCTAAAATTGAAATTTGTACTAATTCTTTATTAGTATTATTATAATTATCTTGTTCTTGCCTGTTTTGTTTTGCTAAAATAATCTCTATGATTTGCTTATTATTAAGCTTTATATTAATTGGTATATATTTATTATTAATATCTAAAAAATTAGTAAAATCTTGTTCAACAAATAGATTTGTATTTTGATTAATAAAATCATAAACTAATTCATTGACTTGATTTTCTTCTTAATTAATAAATTCTTAATACATATTATTAATTTTATTAGCTGATATCAATAGCAAAATGCTAGTCTTTTTTTAACTATTCATTATTGTTGATTTGTTTATCTTATTTTATGATCTTGATATAAAATTGATAGTATCTCTGATACTTAACTTATTTCTAAATAAAAGTAAAATTAGAAAAACATTAATGCTTTTTTGTATATTTTCTTTTTTAAAAGTTAAATTAAATTAAAAATCTAAGATACTATTTTAACAAGACTATACTAAAATATAAATATGCTAGTATCTTATAAACAATCAGGTTTAATAACCCAATATCAGTAATCTTTGATTGTTCAAAGTTTGCTTTATTATTAAAGAATTAGAATAGTGATCTTTTACTTAAAATTTCTTAAAAAATTACATTGAAGTTATAGATATTAGATTCTTTACTAATGATCTAACTTGATTAAGACATTCTACAAAAGTATTAACAATATAATATTTTCTGAATTATGTTTAATAAATACTATATATTATACTGTAATACTAAAAAAGTAAAAATATAGTATATATTGTTAATTATCAATATTATATATACATCATAATATATAAAAACGAACTCTTTCTGATGATCACTTGGTCAACAACAATTTATCGAACTACAGTCAGTGATATAAAAAAGCAATATAGTAGATACAACAATATTTCTGGTTTTGCATTAAGCAAACTTGTTGTCAATGAAGCCTATAATATGTGAAATACTGAGAAGTAGACGTATAAGAATATTAGGTAGGTTTGTGCCTTAGGTCAAGTTTTTCTTTCTTTGATGGACTCTTTAGCATATTTAGCA